TACTGGAAGATGTTAGTGAGCTGAGACCTGACCTTGAATAAGAGAAAAAACATAGATAGATAGATAGATAGATAGATAGATAGATAGATAGATAGATAGATAGATAGATAGATAGATAGATAGATAGATAGAAGGTGGCAGTGTCCATTTGTATTTTTTGTACTGATGCTGAATGCTGTGGACATGAAGACTTTACCACTTACTGGACCACATTCTCACAGTCTGAGGACACACAGACTGAGTTCACTACAATCACAATCAGGCAGTGTGATTGGAAACAGAAAAAATGTTGGAAAGCTCACCAACAACATCACAGTAACTGTAGGAGTCTACCTTATTGCTGCCATCAGTCTGTTGCCGAACTCCACAGACAGGACACTTGGACGTAGTGGTGTGGTCTACAGACTGCTGCCTCCATGGGCTGGTGACCCTGTTTCATACATGTACTACCAACCACCGGATTAAACACATAATATTATAAAGCGGGGTGTTAGAGACTATAATGTTGTAGCTGCAATTCACACCACCAGTGTCTTTACTGTCCTTGTTGTTGGGTAGAACAACCCCACCCTAAATTTAAAAGCTCAATCAGAGCCATTTAGGATTAGTGTATAATAGTCAATTATACTGTATGCTTCAATAATAGATAGAAAGTAGTTATGCGTTGCAGCCTTAGTGACGAGTCACTGTCCTGTTTTAGAGCTGCTCTAGTGAGTAGTTTAGCCATTCTAACAGCAACAACAACCACTAATAGTTATCAGAGGATCAATTGGTTCGTATGCGTCAACATGGAACAGACCTTATCAGATGTTTACCTAAAACTTCTTTCCTGGTTTCGGGAAACTGTGCTAACAAGAATTTAACCTCCTTCATAGGAGGGAGTGGGCTGACCTGTCAGCGTTATTGTTCCATCAGTATACAGAAACACAGCTTCAAAAAAATCTGACGTATCGTGTCTTCTCAGTCCATTAACCCTCTGAAATCCAAAACCCACTGGCAGGTTGGGAATGTATGTTGCCTTTAAGAAATAGCAAAATTACCTTTTTTTTTCCATAAAAAAAAATAGAACCAGAAACTATAAAAAAGGAGAGAATTGGCAGATTCCACTTACCAAAGGTGATTAAATGGAATTTCACTGCCGTGAAATTAGCAACAGAGTTTTATAGGTGCTCAAGTAAATACATATTTTGCTGTGTTAACAGTAGCCGCTACAGGAGGGCATGCCATGACATTTCGTACACTTCTGTATTTAGATATTTATAACCTCCAGAGGATGAATCCCTCTAACTTTGGTGGCTTTTCCTCCAGGCTGATATTTATGGTTTTTAGTGAAATGTCACAGCAGCTTTGTTTGGAGCCCACACATTGCCTTCCACATGGTGGCAACAAGCCCCACGACCCCGAAACAAAGCAGCACTAAGTCACAGTCATCAGTTCACGCACTGGCCGGCGTTAGATATTTAGGTTATGTTCTGCTAACATTGTTGATCAATCAGTTTGACAAAAACTCACAGTGGAAATACGTCTATGGTTGGTATGCGGCTGTGGCTCAGGTGGTAGAACGGGTTGTCCTCCAGTCACAACGTTGGCGGTTCAATCTCCTGCCCTTCCACAGTCGAAGTGTCCTTGGGCAAGACACTGAGCCGGAAGTTGCTCCCAATGGCAGGCAGCACCTTGCGTGGCAGCTCTGTCACCATTGGTGTATAAATGTGTGTGAATGGGTGAATGAGCAACACATTGTAAAGCGCTTTGGATTAAATATATCTAAGTGCAGACCATTTTTGATTTTCTCAGGTGATGATATGTTGATGTTCACAGCTGGTTGTGCTTATTATGTGTGTATATAAATTTCATATATAAATATATATTTACAGTTTCTTACGGTGTCGTTCACAGCAGAACAAACATCTCGACACCAAAGTGAAGTAGCTTTTCTTTTCACGAGCGTTTCTATGAGCAGCTCATGATAAGCACACAGTGGCTCCTTCAGATGTTGGAGAAGCTGTTTGCTTAAGGTTCAGCCTGCTGGGGGACAAATGGCTTCGCACAGCAGACAGCGAAAATCATTAGTGCAGCACGTAGCAGGATACAGTTATTTATGTGATTTCTACAGACAGCGATCAAATCAGGTCACCTGTGTGAGAAAGAGCTGGGCGGGTCATTAGAGCTGCTTTCATAATACTTTTATCATGATTCCTGTGTACAGAGTGACCTGAGAGGCCCCGTGTTGCTTTAAATATGTGTTTTATAAACCTTTTTCCTCTCACTTCTTTAGCTCGTGTACATTTTCCTCATAGTCGTCTCAGTATTTATTATGTTCTTGCACTGACAGTAAAATCTGAAATTGTGTTTACAGGTTTAAAAATGAATAGAAATGAACTAACACGAATATATGTCTTGTTTGATTTTGAAATGACTAAACAATGACAGTTAGCATTTTTAATGTCCAATGAGAGGGTTAAAAAGTGAATAATTTATATGTTCATGGTGGGAAAATATCTGAAACTTCAACACGACTTTAAACACTTTGATACGCTTGACATTTCTCGTTGAGTTTAGCAAATATCTGTGTGTTTATTCTAAATATAAATACTCAGCAGCACCGACTGTTTTACTCTGAACGAGGCCTCAGCCCAGTTTCGATTCAGTCCTGGTGTCTCTCATGTTCTCCTCGACGTATCAGCCAGAGGCAAATTGGTTTCAGTTCACTACAATCATATCAGTATTTACTTTCGCCTGACTGGCTGCTGGTGCCACAACGATACCGAGTGCCCTCCCCAACAACGCTGTCATCTGGTATCGTTCAGCCGCCTGGCAGAGGCACAGAACAATATTTAATCTGCAAGTGTTATGCTTTTAAAATGAAGCCATTTTTATAAGTCGAAGATACAGTTAGTGAAGAATAAATCCTGGAAGTAGCGTGTTAATGGTAATCATTTGAGCTGATAAAAGCCAAACTGCTGCGGGTGCTAGCACATTTTAATGCTTTATTTCAGGAAGGCTGTTACTCTTTACTCTCTGTTTTTATCCTGAGTTACTGTACAAAATGAATCAACACCTTGGAACGCTTTGAGTGCCAGAAAGGATCAGTGACAAGTGCAAGAAGCATTTTTACATCACGTTGTTATTCTACCTGCTACCGAATGATCAAGATGCTGCTTTGTTATATGAATATTTCATTTTGTCAAGTCACTGTTATTTATATATCAGATTTAAAGCAATGGCTGTCATTGAGCCATTTTTTTCCTAATAGAAGAATAAGATTTACATTTACCTCTAAAGTTTAAATACTAGATTACAGCCCTACAATGTGATTAGCACAACCAGCTGTTGGCTGTAAGAGTGAACACAAGAGGCTTCGTGCACTTCCAGCATCTGAGGAACTGATGATCCAGTGGATTACTTTATTTTTGTTTACAATGTCCCCACAGCAATAGCAAAATTCTTAGCGTTAGCCGGCTGTGCAGCAAATGTCGGTACCATTAGCTTTGACTGAATGCTCACAGGTCGGACCTCTGTGGAAACTGTAAAGCTGAGAGACGTTCAGAGATGGTGAGAACCTTAGCAGCAATTTAAACCAATGAACAAGGACTGGGTGGATTGTGCTTCAGTGGAACCTAAACTCAGCCGGTGTTTACGTCTGTCTGCCTTTTTCTTCTTACTGTTTTTTAATGTAGCCTAATTCCCAATGATCCCAATTGTCAGACAACGCAACAAATATACAATAATGACAGGAACACAACCCATTAAGTCTGCATCTTAAACAGCAGTCGCTTCAGAGCCATTTCCAATCTGCCACTTTGCACCAGTAAAATACTGGTTTTATAACTGTGACGTGATCTGACAAAAACACCACAGACATGAGTTAAAAACAGTCGCAGTTACGTGAATTTAGTGAGATTTTCATTTCCTTCTGTGTCAGCTGGTGTGTGATGTGGCATGTTGCTTATGCAGAGAGAGTCTTCTTCCTGAAGGGGTTGAGGACGGCAGCAGCTCAGCAGCAATTCAGCCCACAGACACTGAAACAGCCTGTTTAGAGCGGGACTAAATACAGGACATGAACCGTCTCTGTGGTGTTTGAAGCTGAAAAACATAAGGACACATTCTGGGGACATGTGAGACTTTTATTAATTTGCTGAGAATAATATGTGGACATTTTTATTTAACACAATGTCCAAACAGCAGTGATGTATCACCTAAGACGGAGTTAAATGCGACATTTAAAAAGTTAAACATTTGAGTCACATGACTGCTCAGCTGTTTTTGCACCTGAAGACTCCAGACATGGAACATCACTGATACCACCAGACATGAAATAACCTTCACAACTTCCCCAATTAAACGGCGACTGTGGCTCAGGTAGTAGAGCGTGTTGTTGGTGGTTCGATCGCCGGCCCCTCCACAGTTGAAGTGTCCTTGGGCAAGACACTGAACCTGAAAGTTGCTCCCAATGGCAGGCAGCACCTTGCATGGCAGCTCTGTTGCTGCTGGTCTCAAATGTACGTTGCTTTGGATAGAAGCGCCTGCTAAATGTAGTTGTATTATTGTCGAACATTCTTAATTTTTCTCATCGACAGAAAAAGTTTTGTTTGTTTTTTCTTCTTTGTTGAGTTTTTTTTTTGGCGATCTGGTTTTGTTTCCCGCTTTTTCTACTCTGTCTATTACATCAAGTAGCCAATAGCGTCACACAGCTTGCGTCCATGTACGGGGTGTTCAGGTGCAGTATTGGGATGTAGGTCACCTGTGCTGCCTCTAAACAACAATCAGCCAGAGACCACATCATACCCATTCTTTAGCAACCAGCATTAATCACATTTCTGTGATACCGATACGCTCCACCCAACTTCTTCTGTACATAGCTGGACTGTGTGCAAACAAACGGGGTCACTGTTGAAGTCCTTTTTGACTTCACACCTGCCGATATCATATTCAAACACAAAGCCGCGGTGCTGAGGACAGGCAGTTGTTTCCAGCAGCAGCAGCACAGAGAACACATCAGCATGGCAGCCACCCTGTGTCAGGTGTTGGGCTTCGTCCTCAGTCTGATAGGAGTAGCGGGAATCGTTGCTGCGACGGGGATGGACCAGTGGGCCACAGAAGACCTCTTTGACAACGTTGTGACGGCCGTGTACTCGTACTCGGGCCTGTGGAGGTCCTGCGTTCGGCAGAGCTCCGGCTTCACAGAGTGCCGACCCTATTTCACCATTCTGGGCCTGCCAGGTGCGTTTTTATTTAGTAGTGGTAGCACAATGAGAGGAAAGTGGTTTGTTGGGTTTGTTGGGCACAATTCCTGATAAGCAGTTAGATGGGCTTAAAAATGAACCCTCTGAACCCCACACTCTGGGGGTTTCTGCCACTTTTTTACTCACTATAGACTTGTTTTTTACTGCAATATAAAGTTCTGCACCTCTATAGAAACAACACAACCATGGCTGGAAGCTGAGAGAACTCGAAAATGTTTTTTGTGCAGTATGAGACAGTTACAATGCAACAAATCAGAAAAAAAAAGTTCTTTGATTATTTACTTAACAAAAATTGAAAAAATGGAATCAACATGTAGAATATGTTTCCAAAGGCTCCACAGGTGAAATGATGGTGACTCTACATACTATAGATAGTTCACTACCTGTGTGTTAAATTACTTTTATCTGCAGGACGAGGACATTTGTTGAGGTTGAGCAAATAGTTCTTTTTTGACTCATTTTTAAGTGATCAGATTTGGTTGATTTTATCGACACACCCCAGATGAGTAGTTCAGGGACTGTAGGACGGTTGAAAGTCTCATGATTTGTCCTGTTTTCACAATTTCTGGCTGATAAATGTTGTCATTTTTTGAAAACAGCTTCGTTCAGAAGGTTAACGAACTCAGAAGAACGATACCTCCAATCTTGTGAGGCTTGTGTTTCCTAATAATGTTCAGTGAGATCACACCTTCTCTCACAAAGGAGGGAAACTCTCATCCCGAAACCAGGAAGAAGGTTTTAGGCAAACATCTGATAAGGCCCGTTCCATGTTGACGCGTAGCTACATAACAATAAGCAGCAGCACCAGCGCTGCCATTTCACGACTGAGTTTGAGCGGGACGTCTGAAATGGCTGCCTCAATGATTCAGTTAATAGGATTCATGTTGTCCGCGCTGGGCCAATTTTTAATATCAGCTGCGACCGCCTTGGACACGTGGAGCTTACAGGACCGATCTTTTACAGTAGTAACAAATGTTTACACCTATTCTGGTTTGTGGAAGTCGTGTGTAGGGACTTCATACGGCACCACGGCGTGCAGGCCTTATTTCACCATACTGGGGCTGCCAGGTAAGAGAATTACACTCAGAGAGGAAAAAGACATTTATCAAACATTTCTCCACATGTCGGATTAAGGAGAACATTTTCCAAAGGACCCTGGAAGGTACTTCAGAATATTTGGGAGGTTTTAGGGCAGATTTTCTCCATTTCCAGCCCCCCCACCTTCCCCCCCTTCTCCTCGCGCAAAAAAATGCAGTCGACTGCAGAAAAGATGGTGTCTCTCCGGAATCAAATGGAAATTTGATGAGACATCCAAAGCTTAGCTGAGCAAGCACAAGCTTTACCAGAGTGTCACACAATGTAAAGTACATTTCCACACTCTGTACTTAACAGCTGAATGTAGTGTAGAGCATATTGTATATAAGGTCTTAAAGGCTTAAATCTAGAATAATACAGGTACAATATCTCAGGACACTGCGAGATTTAGTTCAATATGTTTCACCACATGGTGCTTTGAGTTATAAGTTTTTAAATCGCTGCTGCAATGTGCTTTTTTTCGTACTTTTTTTTCTTTTTTCTTTTTTTAACTTTAATTGAAAGTGAATGCCGTGAGCGTTGAGCCCTCTAAGCCTCTTTCAAAGTCTCCTCTTGACACACGTGCATCAGTAGAACTAATATTATTTATTAACGCTGGAGATTTTGACCCCACAGTTTCAGAAGTATTTCATTTGTGATTTCGCAGAGTTCATCTTGCGTTTGAAACGATGTATATGGAATGAGTACGTATGTACCTGTTGGCTTCGCTTTTTTGGTTTAATCATCCTTTAAAGCACCTTGAACTGCTTTGTGTGAAACGTGAACTCAGTTAAGATGAAAAACTCTGTAATTAGTTTTGCTTTCATATCGGAGGCCACGTGTAAGAAAAGCAAGTTCACTTTTTTTAATGAGGATATCTCTTGTCTCCTTAAGTCAGACAATATCTTCAGTGGGATTTTTTAATAACAATTGACCTGTTACTGATGAAAGAAAACATGGAGGCTTTCTTTCTTTTAGTGGCAATAGGAGGCTAATGGCAGTGATGGAAGAAGCGTCATCAGCTAAACGCACTCGAAATTTCAGAATTCAAAGTCGTTTAGACAAAGAATCATCTTTTCCAGTGGGCTGTGTTGTTATATATGATGGTTTTATCACAAGTCATGTTGAGGAGTTGATTTGAACTAGCTGGTATACAGCTGGCTGATCAAATCGAAACACACAGAACAGTATTTCCTGCTAAAATATACAGAAGTGCATCGCAATAACAAATAAAAAAAATAGTTTTGACATACATGTGTGAGATGCTGAGGCCATAATCCAGTTTGTCTTTTGTTACGTGTAATGTGCATGTGTAGAAATGCTGCAGAATACCAGTAACATGTGAGTGCATCAGCAGGGTTACTAATGTAGTCGCCAGTTAATTTGACGAGCAGATGATTCAACTAAATCGCACAACTTGTGACTTTCAGCTCTGCTTCAGGCCGTCCGGGCCTTGATGATCGTCGGCATTGTCCTCGGAGCCATCGGCTGCTTGATCGCCATATTTTCACTGAAGTGCTTGAAAATGGGGAACATGGAGGACAACATTAAAGCCACGATGACTCTGACAGCCGGGATCATGTTCGTCCTTGCAGGTGTGGCGATGCTCTCCGTCTTGAGCTGTGAAGCTGCTGCTGCTGCTGAACCACTTTGTACTGATTCTAGTTCATATTTCTTACAGGAGTCTGTGGCATCGCCGGAGTGTCGGCCTTCGCTAACTTGATCGTGCAAAGTTTTCGGTTCACAACGTACGCAGACGGTGGTTTCGGCATGTATGGATCAGGCAACGTTGGTGGACTGACCGGAGCTCTGACTCCGAGGTAAACAGCAAGTCACATTTTGCCTCACTGTGGCTGCATTTCTTACATTTAAATTCAATTTAAAGTCCTGCACCTCTTGGAAACTTCACAACCATGGCTAGAAGGAGAGAGAACTCAAACATGTCTTTTGTGCAGCAGAAGACCGTCACAATTAGTGATGCACGATATTAAAATTTCTGGCCGATACCGATATCCGATATTAAGATTTCTGATGTCGCCGATAACCGACATTATCGATGTCGATATTCAATATTTTTTCACACCGAATAATGAGTATAAGTAAGCACTGTGAGAATGTGGAAAGTATTCAAAAGAAGCCCAGATTAGACCACATAGTCTTCTTTATTATGTAACAAAAGTAAAACATATTTTAACATATTTTAATATATTTAACATTCAAGTCCATTTCAGAAAAAAACATCTGTGAAATAGCAGCAATATCAAACGTAGAGACGAAGGCGCTGATGTTAGACAGTCATCGGCTAAATTTGTTCATCGTACCGATATATTGAAAAAACACTAATATGGGCCGATACCGATGTGGTTGCCGATATGTCGTGCATCCCGAGTTACAATGCCACAAATCATAAAAAAAAGAAAAAAACAAAAGTTACATTTCTTTGATTACATATGTAGCATGAACTGGAACCAACATTTACAACATTTTTTTAGTGCGTTCACCGTTGTTAACAGTGCTGGAAGAATGGTGACTATACATACGATAGATGTTTGACTACTTGCATTTTTAATTGTCTTTTAAACCCACCGGTGGTACGTGGCATTTGTATGTTTTACCCACTTAAACAACTTTTGTGGTGTTTTGCTTTTGCCCTTCCAGGTATACGTTCGGCGCGGCTCTCTTCGTCGGTTGGATCGGTGGAGCTATCTTGCTTATTGGAGGCATCATGATGTGCCTGGCCTGCCGCGGAATGGTTCCGGAGAGGAAGCAACGGTAATCTGCTGCCTTTTGTGACCTTTAGCAGGATTGGCAGGGACAGCAGCCTCCCTTCTCCTAAGTAACAGGGATAAGAAAGCTAATAAAATGAACAGACCAGAGCAACGCATGCAAAACACTGCTGTAAAGCTAAACAACGTAAACGCTGGATGTATTTTACTTCTTGTTTTTGTATTACTTTAACACTCTGAGTCCCAGAAC